ATTAAATCTAGCAGAAAAGTTGACGCTGTCATTTGCCTTAAATTTGACATCAAAATGTGTTTTTTTTCAGTTTAAATACCAAAACCTAGATAAATGTGTTCGTGAAATTAAGATGCTCGATCACGGAAGTTCAATGTTACGAATAACATGTCAAGGTTTTAATTTTCGTTAAAGGGATTGTAAACAAAATTTCTAGTGACCCTACATGCAAAGATGGTGCAATGACTAATTTACAACGAATCCTTAAAACTTTAATGTGTTTGAAAATGTGGAAGATACCGTCGTTTTCCTGACACTAAACGTGTTTATTTCTGTAAGTTTCTCCATTGCTTCTTATAAACATGAAGTGCATGCGCAAGTAACTTTCGCAGAGAAACCGCGATTAGAAATAACTAAATAGTTTTAAAAAAAGATTAATATCTAATTCATACTTGATCAAATAAAGCTTTTGATTGGATATTGCCATCTTTGCATGGAGGGTCAGGCGCTTAATGGAGGGGGGCCGGTACCCCTGTGCCCCCTAGACATGCACCCCTCTATGCACCCCTAGAGCCACAGACAGGCTCTAATTTATTAAACAGTAACTTACATATATATTCAGCTTTTTTACTTTTCTTATCAATCTACAATGTCACAATTTGTTCATTTTATGATTATTTCTAAAATTCTTTCTTGTACCTCAATCTTATTTGCATTTTTTTTCGCGGGGTTTCATTTCAAAAGATTGGTAATTATAATCAGATGACTAATAGTCATCCTTCATGTAGATTACTAAAGATTTTTTAATTTTTAAAGGTTTTTTAGGGGGGTGCACACAATTTGTTTTCCTAGGCTGAACCTCCACTACGCGCATGTGGAGGGTCACTTGAAATTATGTTTACAACTCTATGTACACGTTGTTTACACTTCAAATCTTTGCTTTTTAAAAGAGTATCGTTGGGCAAAACTCCCGAGTTTCCTTTTTGGGGTCTTAACATTTGTGTAGATTTTGATTTAAGAGATTCGAAAAAAAATTGAGAATATAAACAAACTGAATAAAATAATATTTCATAACAAAAATATTGATATTCACAAATCTGCCTAACCCCATACGTGAAACCCGGAGTTTAAAACTGGTTTTCCTGTCTTAAGATTTGGGTTCAGTGGTGAAATTATGTTTTGAATGTCTTTCATATACTGTATTAGAAAGCAAATACTTTTTTCAGTTTATTTCGTTAAACAAATCTTTTACTCAAAAATATTTTACTTTGAAATCAATTTTACTAAATTTTTTATCATTCTCTTTGGTATCAAACAACGTAATAAATTATGTAAGAATAAACTTATCACCAACTGTCATGTATAGTTGAAACATCCTGCGGCTGATTTTGTTCGAAATAAATCAACCCTAATTTTTGTCAAAATTATTTTTTACATGTTTTCTTGTCGTTTCAACGTTCTAGATCATTTCTGATATTTTACAAACATTCTTTAAGTTTTTAAAGGGACTACATGCGTAATTTCAAATGAAAGTAGTTCCGGTTTTCTAGGTTTAAAAAATTTTAATTCTGTAATTCCTATGTTTTCCTGCAGCAGAAATGCGCAAGTCACTTTTTGCAGAGAAATGATTAGTTTTCAAAATTATAAACATTGATATGTATTATGATTATGTATACTGAGCTGAAAACTTAAGAATGAGATATCCTTAATCGTGAACGCTTAATCTGGGTATCCAATGTACACACTTTTGATTTTATTCTTAATCCTCTTTTTTGGATATCCCTACTGTATAAAAGTTACGTTTGATAACAATTGCAGATACAATACTATATTGATTGGATGAAAAAAGTGTTAATTCCAGGAATTAACTTATGAAAAGGTAGTTTGTCCATTAATTTTAGACAATGCGTGAAAATTTGATCAATCAAAATAGTTCTTTGAAATCCTGAAATGTTAAAAATAAACAAAAAAATAATTTGTAGAATCGCAGGAATTTGATAAAATGATGCTTTTTATATGTAAAGCTGGAATATTATAACGATTTGGAATTTAGTAATCCTACCTGAACATGAAGGTTTAGATGTCATTAAAATAATTATTTAGGATATTTAAGACGTTGTTGAAGACGATGCCTGGCCGCATTAAACAAGTTCCACAAGATTCAACAGAATGAGATAGAACCAGATAGAACAGATACGGGGCATAGTACTGATAAACATATACACGTGAGATATCGATATTTACTCTAGTTCTGAACCCTCTAGTAATAAGTTATAAGAAATATATATACTGGAAGTTATTTATGCGTTTTCATTAGAGTCTGACTCACGTCCTCTATAACGTGTTAAATTTATTCTTCTGTGATATATTACTTCTAAAAGTGAGAGATTAAGCTACTTTGCCTGTAATATTTTACCTCAATTTGTTTGATAATTCCCGAAAATAAAAATAAAAACAAAATAGATATTTTCAAAGCTGAACGTCAAAGTTTGAGTTATTCAACATAATATGTCAAACAGATGTTGTTTCAAATTTTTAACAGGATCCAGATTCAAAACAAAGAATGTTTCTTGTAAAGGGGGAGAGACGGCAAAACTAGTAAAGCTTAAAGGGACTGATAAACGTAATTTCAAGAGACCCGAGGCACAATGATGCCCTTAACCCCTTTATCTGTGTAACAATGAGGAAGATTACGTCGTGTTTTGATTTTTAAACATGTTCTGTCGATTTATTTTCTTCTCTCTGCTGTTATAAATCCGCAATAAACTTTTACTGAGAAGCCACAATTTGAAATATTAATATTTCTTAGAAAAACAAGAATATCTTTGTTATGTTCCTTCAGACCAAGGTTTAAGATATTGTTTTGAATCGGATATTCCACTCTTTCAAAGGATTAGAAATTAAAAAAAAAAACAATATCTGAAGTCTAAATTACGCCAAAAATGAATTAATCAAATAAAATTAAATAAAATATTTAAAAGTTTAATTTTCGTTTAGTTTAGTTAATTTTGGTTTTAAATAATAAATTGAATTTTAATACAAATTGTCTCTTGCTTTCCATTTACCACTGTTAATAGAGAACAATCATTGCAAAGGAATTAGGTCTTTGTCACAATCTCAAATTTTCTAATCCCTATATTTTTTCAACCTGATATTTTAAAGTCAAACTATTTGATTTAACAGAATTCATAGTTTTTAATATCTAAGGGTTACGACATTGGGTTACAAAGATATAGAATTTAGAAAGTAAGACTTAATTCCTTTCCGTCAAAAACTTGTTTTTGAAAGGCTTAAAAGGAAATGATAAATTACTACCTTGAAAAAGATTGCAAGATTGCAACTTTGAAAGAAGTGATTTAAAACCTCTCGTTTGCAAAACATAAATTAATTTAAATGCAAAAATATTTTTTGTTGCAAAAATTGTTTGTTAAGCTAGAATCAGAAGTGCAATCAGGGGTGCGTGTGGGTCAGCACCTTCCCCCCCCCCCCGAGGTTGTGCCCCGGATATCCCACCACATCCCCCTAAAATTGACATTTTAGAAATATTTCATCTTGTGTCACCTTATGTTATTTCTGAGTATGCTTAAAAAGGTCAAGCTATGCACAGAGAGAATTGAAAAAAAGGTATACATCAAACACACAGTTAGAGTGTCTTTTTAATAGATACTGACAACAAATAATATTTTTTAATTTATTAAATGTCTAAAAATCCACGAAATAAAATCATAAATAATAAATTTTCTACATTTTAGATTTTAGTTTTAAAATATCTAGTTTTACCCCTTCAACGGAAAGTTCGGATTACAAAAATTATTTTGCCAAAAATAAAGCCTTGTTTCTTCTTCTATCGTTAATCTGTATTTGATTAACTACACTTATCTAAATAAAGTTAAAAAATGGGAACAAATTTTAAAAACTGTATTCTCGATAGGTTTGCTTTTATTATTCTTTGCAATAACTTTACTCTAATTAGATGTAGCATCTGAAACGATTTTTAAACCGTTTTTTAATGTCTCAAATGAATCCTAAAAATTTCTCCACAATACTACATTCTCAGTTAAACTACTTTATATTGCCGGTCACTCTCTTTCCTACGACATTTTAAGCATTTTATGGTTATTTATCATATCTTTTAGGTCGCTTTTCATATTTATTATATCTTTTAGGTAGCTTTTTATATTTATTTTATCTTTTAGGTCACTTTTCATATCTCTTATATCTTTTGGGTCACTTTTCATATATATTATATCTTTTAGGTTGCTTTTCATATATATTATATCTTTTAGGCCGCTTTCATTTTTTGCCTTGAAATGTGTTAATAAAATCCTCCAACCTAAGCAGGCTATTTTCGATTTTTCAAATTTACGGAAGATTATGTCGTTTTAAATTGTAAATTGAAAAGTGTTAAATATTTATAATTTCTCCTTTGTTTTTCTGCAGCAGAAATGCGTAAGTCACTTTATTTAGAGAAATCACAAATAAAAATAATCAGATTTCAAAATTACAAACATGAGAATATAACTGTAGTATAGGTGAAACTATGATCTACTGCAGAGGGTGGGGTTTGTTTATAAGAACTTGCTTTCTCAACGTTCCCGCCCTACTCCCCCACCCCTAGTAGGCTATTGCTCGCCCTACTCCCCTACCCTTAGTACATCATAGCCAACCCTACTCCCCCAACCCTAGTAAAGCATAGCCCGCCCTACTCCCANTCACAAAGACGATATCGAATTCGTCACTGAATTCCCATGTTTTTTGGGACACCCTGTATAATAAAAACAAGTGTAGTTTTGTCACATTTCAGTAGCTTCATCCCGAATCCCACATAACATTGTTTCTTGCAAATTAAGCAGGAAAAAAAAACAAGAAAATCAACGAAAATTGTGTGTTGCATTTGTGCTGTTTAATAGTGCATAAAATAAAATGAACACAGATAAAAGTAACAATAAAAAGAAAGATGTAAAATTCAATTAAAAAGATGAAAAACTTTAAATGTTTTTTAATGAATGTATCTGAACAAATTATAATAAATGAAAATTTATTTACAATTTATTATTAATTTACAGGATTAATTCAGATGGAGAATCACTATAAATAATGTCCAGACAGTACTTCAAATAATGTCCAGACAGTATTTTAAATAATGTCCAGACAGTACTCTAAATAATGTCCAGACAGTATTTTAAATAATGTCCAGACAGTATTTTAAATAATGTCCAGACAGTACTCCAAATAATGTCCAGACAATACATTAAATAATGTCCAGACAGTACTTTGAATAATGCCCAGACAGTACTTTAAATAATGTCCAGACAGTACTTTAATAACGTCCAGACAGTACTTTAGATCATTTTTTTCAGTCCCTGGTCTCACTTGTTGCTGCAGGAGGCAGAAAAGGAGATATTTCAGTATCTTGAAAATTTAATCGAACCACTGGAATATTTGTTTCGTCAACACTACTAATAGCCTAAAAATAAAAATTTTAAGAAAAATACCCAAAAAAGCACAAAATTTACTACTAAAAAACTCATTAAACCGCTCTCGTTAACATGGATAATCTTCAAATGCTTAAACTTTTAAAGGTTTTGTTCGTTTCTGGATTAGTATAATCATTGCTAAAGTGTATATATTACAGCTGAAAATAAAAGGCTTATACTGTATAAGGGGTTTATTTGTTAAAAATCTATATAATCCCACTTTATTTTAAACCACGTTTATTAAACGTATGCTTAAACTTTGTTTTTAAATTCACAAAATCTATCATTTTGTAAATAGTGATGTTATGAATAGAAAGTTTATAATTCCTAAAATTTAATGGATCGAGAATCAAACTTTTCTTTTTTTTATTATACTAGCTGAAGAAGTTGTCCAAGCTTCTCATAGTTACTCCTCTCCCGATGTTTACTAGTGCTCGATTTTAAATCATAATTTTAGCACTGTCCGGGGTTTCCCGTAGAATTTAAAATTTAGCTTCTGTCACCACCAAGGGCCAGGGATGCTCAATCCCTTGGGTTCCCTAAACAATGTTCAGCCAATTTGGTGCATCCGTTTGTCCAGCTATAGCGAACATTTAAATGAGCAAAGAGCTTTATTATTAGTTCATTACTATTTAGAACTATTTAAATCTAAAATTAAATTGCTCCTGAGATACAGAAGGCCTAAAGGGACTGTTACCTAAATTTCATATGGCCTTTGTCTAATCACGGATAAAAGAGAGATAGATGTATTTAAGTTTTGATTTCTAACAACCTTTTTTAAATACAAGTTTACAAGTAAATAATTGCAGCTTCTCTTTGTTCCCTTGCTTTTGTGTAGCAATGTTGCTTTTTAAGCTTGAATTAAATAAAGAATTGAAATCGAACGTCGTCTTTCTGGTATTGATATATACGGCGACGACTTTACACCAAAAATGATTTACCATTTTTTGAGTTCCAGTATGTAAAAGTTTGACCTGAGATTGAGGAGTATCTTTAAACAGTTTACCCTTCTGTATAAAACCATTCGCCATTAAACCTTAAAATATTATAAAATCTATTACTTCTCTGCGCTACATCACTAACAAAGTATGACATATTAAAGACGAAAATACAAAATTTATGCCATATCTTTTGCAATCATGGTTCCCCGCAGGTTTTATTTATTTATTTCGTGAAATCAACTTGTATAGTTTGTTTGATAAAAACAACCACAACTAACTCTAAAAGTTGTATGATACAAGTAAAAATGTTGTGCACAATTTAAACCAACTATTTATTGCTTTGGTTTTCCCCTTAACGATTTAAAGTAATATAGTGTGTTGAGTTAATTTTAAGTCTTAAAGTTTTAATTATTTCGATTTTTGAGCGATTGTCTTTATGAATTTTACCTGTAAACATTTTATTTCCTGATGCATAATATAGAACTCCCTGACCCCACATTGCATCATTTAGCATACTTCCTAAACATTTCATTTTCTTATGTATAATATATAGAACTCCCTGACCCCACATTGCATAATTTAACATACTTCCTAAACATTTTATTCCCTAATGCATAATATAAAACTCCCTGAATTGAATCATTTAGCATATTTCCTAAACATTTCATTTCCTAATGTATAATATAGAACTCTCTGGCCCAGCATTGCATCACTAAGCATACTTCCTTGATATATCATTCCTTGATGCATAATACAGAACTCCCTGACCCCACATTGTATTATTAAGTATACTTCCTAAATATATCATTCCTTGATGCATAAGAAAGAATTTCCTAACCCACACATTGCATCATTTACCATAGTTCCTAGATATATCATTCCTTGATGCATAATATAAAATTCCCTGGTCCACATTGCATCATTTCAGTGATAACCAAAAAAAGTATACGACATTATAGCCATACTCAAGTGTATTTGATGTTGTTTCAAAGCAATATTGCGTTTCTGGACGTCTATTAAATTACTAATTTAGTGATATGGGTCAAAGGTCACTGCAAACCTAGGGCTTTATAAATTTATAATTTGATTTTAGAAGTAGTTTTCCTATTTTAAAGTTTTTACTGTAGTGCATAATTCTCATCCTGGAAAGTATCAAATACCTAATGAAAAATGAAAAAATCTGAATGAAATTAAAAATATTTATTGTTCCCAATAAATCAAAAATTACGAGAAAGAATTTGAGTTTTTGCCCCAAACTCAAATGTTCTGTTAACCATATCTTTGTAACCTAATGGTGTGAATATTGAAAATATTTTAAACTTAGATATTCTAATCCAATCGAATTCATAGCTTAAAATATATAAGGTCTAAAATATTAGATATTACGATGTTACGATTAGAAAATCAGAGCTTGGGGCTAAGACCAATGACTAGATTCCTTTGTTACACTTAGACATAAAAAACAAACCCATGAAATATCTCTAACTTTTATAAAGAGCAGTAAAAAATATTTTAAATCAAAATGATTTCTAACAAAAAATATAAATCCTAACAATACCTGAGTAATACGGGGTTTTAGATTTAGGTGTATACAGAGATCCTAAGCCATCCTTCTTACCATGCACCCAGTTCCCCTGTACCGCACATATATTGAAAAGCTAAAAAATCAGGCTTTAATTATGCATGATAACTCACCCATAAATAGAAATTGAGAAAAATCTTATTTCTTTTAATCAGGATAAAATAAGGCATGAATTATTAGACAAATTGCATCAACAAAAAAATCTGATTATGAATAATGGAAAATGAAAAAGTCAATTATTTTTCATGAATAAAATAACAGACAAAAATCATAAAAAAACGGTTTAAATATAAATAAATCTAGCTAAAACAAAAATAAAGAAGAATTTTAATGAAAAAAAATGTAAATATTAGATTTTTACTTGTCTTTTTCATGACATCAAATTAAATATCAGAAAATCCGTTAAATTTGAAGTTTTGAAATTGTTTTTATTTCAAATGATAATTAAAGTGTATGCATGTGCATTTGCATAGTTCAAAGGGACTGTAAGCGTAATTTCAAGAGATCCTCCATGCAAAGATGGCGATGCTGGATTTACAACGCTACCCTTGAATCCTTATCCGATAAAAAATGTGGAAGATATCGTTATTCTTTCTCAAAGAGTGTTTATTTTTATAAACCTCTCTATTACTTCTTATAAACAAGAAACAAGAAGAGAAACCACTAATGAAAATGAACAGTTTAAAGAAAAAAACATGGATATCTAATTCATACTTGATCAGACAAAGCTTTAAAGGAAACAGTTTTCAAGATTGTTGATTGACGTGACAGACGTCCATGTTACAGTTTATATCATCAAAAGTTTTATTTAAATGTGCTTTTTCCTCATAGATGACGGATGCATTATCAGTTCCTGTGATGAAATAAATATAGTATGATTATCATCTATGTACAAGGTTACCCACATAGGAAGAGACTTCAGAGACGACTGTACAGAATTTAAAAAGTCTGTCTCCGTATATCAATTATTCTCTGTAATTGTAACCTTGTTTCTTTCTGTGCCTAATCATTGAATAAGCCGCATTAAACATTGTTTTAAGGTAGCAGAATCAATTTAACCTTGGAATCGTTAGCTTAAAAGAGTTTTAGGTCGTCTTTAGTTTAAAGTCTCATCCTTAGTGATTAACCCTGTATAAAGTAGTAATTTGGTGTCTGTTTGTTTGTTTGTGATTAGAACTCTTGAACCCCTTGACCGATTTGCCTTGAATTTGAATATGGAACTTAGAAAAACCGCGGAAACGTTCTTAGCTTAGCTTGTTTAAAAATTTATAAGTAAGGGGAGTTGACTTTTGTGGGGAAAGTTTAGTTTCCTGGCAAAGCTAGGTTACCAAGCTATACACCATATATTTCCATTGTAACATTTTGTAAACATTGATTTTATTTTTTAAATTTTTAGAGATTTAGTTAACATATAATTATCTTAGAATTCTGATAATTTTCTCTGGAGGTAACAAAATAATATTTCAGAATTTTCCCAGAAAATAGAAAAAATCGTTAAAGAAAGTGTAAATTATTGAATAAAAAATAAAATCCAAAAGTTAACCTGCAAACTCAGCTCCCCAGCCATGCGGAAGTTCAACCTTGCTCATGGAACCTAAGACGTGCAATTTATTGTAAGCTTGGACAGGGAGACTTACTTGTAAATATGCCTTTAGTTGACAATAGCAATGGGGCGGATGATAAGTCGCCCTGTGTATAGTGTATTACTATTGAGATAATGTGTCCGTAAGAAGATGCGACCCTATACTAAACATGTTTCTAACGCGTGTTTCAAAGAATGAAAAAGCCTTGCCACCGTTGACCTGAGTTCTATTTGAATTCAGGCAATTGCAAAAAGGTTTGATCTACGATGGAGCAGGAAATAAGATTGCCAGGCTAAAGCCAAAACCTTATACAAAAAATCAATACAAAGCAATGTTTGTATTTCATAAACAGCTGAGAATTTGTAAAACCATATTTTAATCTTATCCCTGTAAAGAGATGACTACTGTTATTGTCTATAGGGCTGGGCTTCCACTTTGTTCAAGTCGTGTCCGAATTTAATGAATTTAACCAGTGTCTAAAATCCCCCCAAAACCGGTGGCAATGGAGATCCGGCTTAAATCTTGAAAATGTAATGCAGATTTAAGTGGAACCAACAAATTTGAGCTACGGCTCAAATTCTATATATTCGGCCTCCATTTGCGGTTTAACGTTTGCTTAAAATAGCTAACCGTTACCAATTTTATAGGTTATAGCCTTTGTTCTTAGCTATAAGAACTGAATGACGTTAATGGAAGATATTTAGAAATTGTTAACGGCACCAGCCTTCAACATTCATATATGAATAGCAAGGGAAGTATGGGGTAGTAAGGGGTAGGAGATCTACAGGTAGTAAGCAGATTTAGAAGCACATGAGATGGACATCTCAAACTGCAGACTCTGATCAAAGAAGAAAAAAAATTTAAAAACACAAGAATATGCTGGAACTGTTAAAATGCTATTAGATTTAGAACATTTTGAACATTAGAGAATTTTATTCTTAATGAAACCTGAATGAATTAACAAACATGACATTAATTGATTGAACTAAATAGTATTAAATCGTTATCGTTGAAAATCAGGAGCAGGGTGTACATTTTGCTGAGTTTTGAATAAGCTACAAAGATATCAAATTTCTTTGAGACTTATCCCATTCTCTATAAGGGAAATTAGCATAGAGAATAGAATATATATGGAAACTTTACAATTCCCTTCTAATATATATTCTATTCTCTATGGAAATTAGGGAAGGGGGGGGGGATGTCGACCTTGTATAATGCCCCCCCTTCCCTGTTTTGAAACAAAAGGTCACAAAAAAATTCGTGTACAGTCCCTTTAAAGTTTGTTCGTTTTTCTTGACCACTAATCGAAGTAAAAGAGGATTTTGAACAATAAAAAACAAATAGAAAATGCGCCAAAACATCCATTTACACACTTTTAACAGATTTTAGTGGATCAATGCAATAATGTTTAGATAAGTTTTTAAAATTTTGTATTAAGAAATTGAGTATTTTGCCACAAATTAAATTGTTCTAATCCCTTTATCATTGCAAGCTGATGGTGCAAACCTATGATGTTTCAAACATAGATTATCAGGTCTAGCACAATTCATGGTTAGAATCATCAAGGTCTACGACATTGGATTGTAAAGAAATAGAAAATCAGAGTTTTTGTAAGACTTAATTCTTTGGAATTTTTAATGTTATAAAGAGGTAGAAATGAATAAATATTTTAAACTTTAAAAGTATTTCATTCCTGCCCATGTCTTTGAAACTATCTATACCTGTGTACAAATTTCCGTTCTTCAGGACTATCGAAGCATTCCTAAAAAAAAGATCAGAGACGTATGCACTAATCCCCCCCCCCCCCTATCCCCGTAGAGATTGAAAAATAAATCACATGAATTAATGGAATGCTGCTGGTTTATAATTGAATAACTATATGGAGCTCTTTATAACTGTTCCTGCATATTTCATGGTAAATTATTTATTTTTAAATAATTAAAATTTCGGCATCGTATACAAACTATTGAAAAATTCTCAAGACGACCTTTATTAATGCTCTCAATGTTTCTTAAGTTCTGGGATGAACTGTTATATATTAGCTAATGATTCTAGGATAAAAGCACAACTCAAGTTAAACTCTATTTTCATGAACCATTTATCTATCTATCTGATTGACTTTAACAGGTCACAAATAATTAAGCGGATTTATGAAATATTAATGAATTTGAAAAAAAAAAGATACTTTGTTGTGACTTTTCCCCATTTTTCTGTTTTTATTTGATTCTCCTCTTGAAACTATTTTAAAAACATCTGCTCATTGAAAAATAATAAATTAGATTGAACAATTCTAAAGGTTGGGATGAGTTTTGAAATTGCCATGGTTTTGTTAGAAACCTGAGAATTCTGGAAAGATCGAAGTATCAAAATCGAATTAGAAACTTCTGAAAGGAGTTGTTGGCATAATATATGTATAGTGCACGTTCATCTTCTGCTTTATTTTAAATAGAAGCAGACTGATTGTGCGTGAGAGAGCTAGTTATTTACCAAAAAGATGGAGTTTTATTTTTTTTTAAACCTGAACCTTGATAGTTTTCAATTTCAGTTTTCTATTAAATTTAATTGAAAATATATAGCAATGGGCAAAAAGCAAGGTTATACTTTAAGGTTTAAGAAAATGTGCTCTTAAAAAACACCTAAAAAAATAGGACAACGCAAAAAATTAGACTTTAACAAAATATTTATACCGTCATACCTTAGTGTACAAATAAACTCTTTTTGTACTGGAGACAAATCAAGATCTTTACCATCCAATATTTCCTCCTGAAATAAGAGCATAGACTGTTTAAAGGAACCCTTTGATTTGTATTGGAATTGGCAAGATTTAACGTCCCAAAAGCATTTCAAAGTTACATTTTTTTTAACTATGAACAGAATGTAAGAAATTTAAAATTTTGTAATATATTTTTTCATAATTTTGAAAGACTTTGAATGATCCACAAATATTCTAGGTTAGGCTTAGATAAAAAAAAAATTAAGACCAATTTTAGCAAAATTTAATCACAATTTATAAACAATTAAAAATTTTCTAAAATGGGGCTGTTGAAATGGCGACTTACCCCAACATTCACACACCATTCCTCCAGTTTACACTTGTCATTGATTCCACAACCAGTCATATTACAAGTTATATTGAACACTGTACAATACTGCTTAATTATATTCAGTTTAAATTAACCTGTCATTTTCAATTAATTTCCCTTTTAGCCTCATGAGTTTGTTTACTCTGTCATATATTAAAGGTAATATTTTGGTGATGGCATAAACTATATGCAATGTGGAAAACTATGACATCCTCTTAGCTCCTGGAAATCAAAACCTTTAAGTTCAAATTGCAAAATAAAAGCCATGTTGGGAAGAAAATCTGTTTGATATGTTTGTGATTTTCTGATGAGGGCAGGAAATCCAAAATGGAGACTGATGATGCTTTAAGATGCTTCTTATGTATAACTTCAGGAGGGGTGTGAATGTTATGGAGGCTAGACTCAGGGGCGGATATTGGGGGCCACAGGACCTTAACACCCCGCTGACGGATTCAGGGGGGGGCATAGCCCCCTCTGAGATTTCAGAATAGCTTCCCAAAAGCACTTCCGGCATGTCTTTTTGTTTCTAAATCTGGATTTTTTTGTTCCAAAATAAATCTAGCACCTCCCTTACTTAAATCCTGTATCCCCCCCGTGGAGCCTAGACTAGAAGATTGCAATTTAAGATACAGACAAGAGGACCTGATTTATGTGGAATTCTGTAAAAACGACCCAAATTTCCCTGTAAATAACAAAGTTATGCCCCTGAAAGGAAAAAAATAAAGCAAATAACCCAGTAAAAGTTGCTGGCTGCTTTGACCAAAAATAGGCCTAGTTTTGAGCAACAGGAAAACCTGTACCTTTTGGGTTTGAAAAATCATGCACCCTGAGGGTTTATATGATTTTATAGAAGATGTATGCTAAAGCAGGATTGAAGTTAAAAATGGTCCCTGAGCACCAAAAATAGCTTAACACACAGTACACAACTATGATGAAATCCTTTGAAACACAGACTGAATCTTTTGGCTCATCACAACTGCCAATCAGTATTTAAGGCTAAGAAGCATTACAGATTTCATTCCGCAGTTCATGAACTGGGCCTGATCATGAACATTTTGGAAACTCAACAGAGAGAGGTTAGGAAGAAAACGTTAAAAAAGCTTGGTAGATCTTCTAGTCAGGATGAAACTTCAGAGATGAAAGTGAAGAAGAAGACGCTAATGCAGCACTGTAAATCTATGTTTTTTTATATTTTTTTGAAGTTTATGAATTATCAAAGCAACTAAAAATTTTATTTTTCCTCTGACTACTTTATGAAACAATTAAATGCTGAATTTTCCTCATTTGTCAGCATAGGCTCAAACCATGCTAAGAGTTTGGTAAAATTTAGTAGCTTTCCATCCCTCCTAAATACAGTAATGTAAATTATTTTAGGATTTTTAAACTTTTAATATTGCCATATAGTATATCTTTAATTTCCATGTTTTTCAGACTTTCTGATTTGTACCTTGTAATATTAGGAAAATTGTCAACTGTGAATAGGTTAGAGATCAGAGCGAGTTCCCGTTGAATCACGCTGCCATAAAACTTCTTTTGTTCCACAAGAGAAACCACCTAAACATACATTTTGATTAACATTTTTACTTCTTTCTTTTTTTGAAAAACCTATTTCAAAAGTTGCATGCCTTAATTACAGCAACAGACATTTGCTTCCTTTAAACTGGAAATTCATTCATATTCATAAACTGGAAATTCATTCATATTCATATTCATAAACTGGAAATTCATAAAGTAGTGATTTCACGACGGGAGCGGATGCATCTAAAATTTCATTATCAATTTCTACTGCAGTCCTTACCAGAAAGACTAGGAATTAATTTATAATAAATGAGATGACTTACAATCTAATTATATAAATATGATTAATAAAACAATAATAACAATATAGTCCTAGTCCAGCTAATTCCAAAATGTGGTCTGCCTGTATTGTGCGTTTAAAATTACCATGCTATATATGTAAAATTGTCTGATTAACTGTCAATTAATTCCGGGTCTTCCTGGTTATGTTTGTATCTGAATTGACTGCATCTAGAAGAGACACTCCCATCCCTATATTACTATTTTGCATTGGAACATTTAACTCATGCAGACACAGTGCAGTGATACCTGTTTACTCCAATCTGCAAGACTCTCTGCTAGAAAGCTCCCATACGTTGAGATCTTCATCCTCTCAACTTGGGTGGAGTTAATTTCTCCTTCCATCAAGTCCTCGCGAGTACAGTTATTCTAAACAAAATAAGCTGGTGTAAATGAGGTGGTAATTCTTTGGACATGGTTATTTTGTTCCACTAATTAATTTCCTGGACTGTATTTGTACCTGATCAGAATGTTTAGTGCAGAAATATTTTCAAGGGGCAAGAAACATTATTTAAGTCTACACACTTTTGATAAAAAATGGGTGTAAAATTCGACAGACATTCAACAAAAATACATTGATTGATATCATTAAAAATAAAAATAAAAAATAAAAAATATAAACTGTCCTTCCTACAAGATAGCTCGCAAATCAATAAATCATGTACTTCTTCCATCCTAGAAAACCAAGGAAATACATTGACAAGATTTTGTTGTACAGTGGATTTTGAACCATAATAAAGAGGAAGTTGAGAAACATTTTTCATCAAAACTATAAAGTATATCTGTTTGTTTTATATAAAAAAAAATTCTGCATTGCAACAACTTGAATACCAGTTTCAGTACATTTGTAAGAACTTTGTTTTTAGTCTCAATGCTTCTTTCTCTTTTTTTATATTTCTTGGCTGACTTGTATGGTGAAGTACAGTCTGAGTTAGAAAATATGTAAAAGAAATGCATCAAAATTGTAAAATCAAGCTGTACTTATTAATTTAAAAAATTCTAAAGTGAACATTTTGGCCCTCAATCAAAAAAAAAATAAAAATACTTATTTGACACCCCTGTCATATAGTTTTATTTAAAGTACTGCTACAGTCAAAGAAAATAACAATTACAAAAACTGAACATGCCAAATAGCTACCACCTCCTTTCTCCTTCTATCAGGTCCTCGGGGGTACAATATTTTGTCATCCTCTTAACTTGACTTGGAGTTTATCAATCCCTCCATTAGGTTATCATGGGTACAATTTTTTTAAACTGTCCTGAGTCCGCGATTTAAAAATTCGGGAAAATACGGCTCGGGTTTAAGCTGGCGTTGGGCCTTATTTGAGACTTGAGTTTTCTGAGGCTGTGATTTAAAAAATTTGACTCGAGCCTTAATTCCTTAAAACCGACCTTAAAACCCAATCTTCGACAAAACTCAGACGACAGCTTGTGTCACATGATTGATAGCTGCAAGATCCTCGGCTTGACTTAAGGAGTTTGACCCAATGAAAATAAAATTGACCTTGGTTGGTTTTAGTGGAGAATAAGGCTCAATGTTGAGTCTTGTTCTCATAAAAACCTGGAATGCGCCAATTCCTACCATGAAAATCCGCCAAATTGAATATTAAACCGGTTTTTGAAATCTACTCTGTGGAAAATAAGATGCAGCCTGAATCAGAAAGCTCAATTCGTAAATAAGGCCCAACAACAGCCGTATTTTCCAGGCTCTGAAACAAAACCTGACCTCAACCTTATCCCAATTGGGCTATTTTAGTTTAAAATATCCTAGAACCTGAAATTGAAACTGAATAAGACATGTTGTCCAGATTTTTACCTTGTTAAGCTCAACTTGGAGTCCCAGAACTTTAGAACCTGCTCTATCAGCACATTCAGAGATCTCTCCCTTGTTGGAAGAAGATCGTTCACTAATACAAAAATTTCTGGAGAAACACCTTTCCCCAAATAGATTGTCAAGTACAACAGAAAAATCCACCAACTGCGCACAACGTCACAAGTGTCAAATGAAAAAAGAAAGACGACATGTTGTCCAACTAGTAATATGATTTCCAAGATTTAGCTTAGATAAATATCCTATTTGTAGGAATAGGTAAATAATGTCAGATATCCCAGAAACTATTAAATAGACAGACAACTCAAATTACATAGAGAATATATAAATCTTGTTAGAAGACAACTGTTCACTATAAACAATCTTGTTAGAAGACAACTGTTTACTAAACAATCTTGTTAGAAGACAACTGTTTACTAAACAATCTTGTTAGAAGACAACTGTTCACTATACACAATCTTGTTAGAAGACAACTGGTTACTAAACAATCTTGTTAGAAGACAACTGTTTACTAAACAATCTTGTTAGAAGACAACTGTATACTATAAACAATCTTGTTAGAAGACAACTGTTTTCTAAACAATCTTGTTAGAAGACAACTGTTTACTTAAAAAATCTTGTTAGAAGACAACTGTTTACTAAACAATCTTGTAAGAAGAAAACTGTTTACTAAACAATCTTGTTAGAAGACAACTGTTTACTAAACAATCTTGTTAGAAGACAACTGTTAACTATAAACAATCTTGTTAGAAGACAACTGTTCACTAAGCAGCTAATTTTGTTCAAAGTTATATACAGAATGGTGATTTTCATTCACCTAACATTTGGTTCATAATATCAAATAAAATGTTCGTAATTTTTAAATGCTTTTGTCAAGTAAGAGGTTTTTAAAATGTGTTCTGGAATGCACTTTTTGTTTTTTAATATATCTACTAATTGATATTGATGTAAATAATAGAAAATTCTGCCAAAACCTTGCAAAAGTAAAATTATTGTTTTAGTACTGTTTATAAATTTGATATAAAGTATGGTATTAATGTCAACTTGTCAAGTTCGTCTGCTGAGTCTGACATTGTAAATGTAATTATATAAACTAAAAGGATGAAAGTGAAAAAACATTATAAAGTGTTGGGTAAATAGATTTGTATTTTTCGTGCTAACCCACTAAGTGCTTTTAGAGACATTATATAATCAACCTTCATGATTAATCTAAAAAGTTGACTTAAAAAAGAAAATAATAAAGCTAAAAAAATAAATTATTTACAACAATTTATATCCATTACAATAAAAATTGAAAATAAAAAGCTACAGATCAATTGATCATTTCATAAAACTTAATATTTCTACTCTTTGAATTTTTCAGTTGGACATCTAAATTCATAATTTGCTTCTTTTCAACTTTTTGAGATCTTTATTGTGAAAAATGAAATGCTTGCACACTAACACTATGTTACATCTTTTCAAATGCAATGTTATTCACGAAGAATGAGCCTTTATGGAAGAATTTTGTTTTCTGCAGCTAAGATAGTATAAATTTTTTATTGAGATGGTTTTCAAAAAACGAGGAGGTTACAATTGAAACATAAACTAAATTAGAAAAAAAATTCGAACGTCTTGTGAGTCTTGTGAGCGGGGGAAGACAGGCGGTCATAAGCCACAACATTTTCCCCTTCCATGCCACATATTATCTTTTTTTGTCTTCCGGCAGATATAAACCGTACGGTCTTCCATGTCACAACATTTGAGTCTTCCGGCAGTTATTACGTTTTTAAATGATAAATTTAGGGAATTGAAATTGCAATTTTTAAAAATCCTGCCGCATTACGTGAAGGAGTATACCTTTAAGATATATTAGAAATTTATTAAAGATTAATGAATTGTGTTCAGTTTATAACCCGCTTTACATTTTACAAAGAAAATTTTAAATAATTTTACGCATTTTGGGCACCGCGACAAATTGTTTAGTGTGGTCTAAAGAATAAGAAAAGATAAGAAAAATCATAATATTAACTGTCATTACCTGAGCTTTACAGATTTCCACAAAAAATTCTATTTTGCAAATTTCTCATTAAATATTACAAATTATTGGTTATGACCGCCCTTTGAACTTTAAGAGTATGTTATGGTGCATTATTTTTACTGTTCATAATGTTTTCAAAAATAAGCCATTTTAGAGGGTTTAGCAGTTTACATTAAAAGGAATCTTCATTATTTCAATTTAAAACTTAAATATAAAGTTGTTTACATATATATTTTGCATGACGTCGCTGGATTTTTGAAAATACTGCACATGGCTCGAGGATGTCGGAAGACAAAAAAGCTAATATGTGGCATGGAAGGGGAAAATGGTGTGGCTTAGATCAGATTTAATATAAAGCGAGATTAGTTAAACTACATGGATATAGTTGAACCAGTTCTCTGTTCAATTTCAAGAAAAGTGGTTCAACTTAGTCCGTGTAGTTTGAATACTTCTCGCTCTACTTATTAAAAGTGTTCCTTGTCCCCAGTTTGCTTGTGGTTTGATAATGAGTTCCATATTCATTTACAAATCTCCGGAATTCAGCTTCCTAAACATATTTTTTTAAATATTGACAAAACCATCTTTGGTTAGGCGGACTAGGAAGCCTAGATAACCCATATACATACAGTAATAGCCACAAAACAGAAGTCGTCTTTTAGACTCAAGTTATGACTTTATATAGTAAAATTAATATGCTGCACAGCAAATGTGCAGTGTAAACAGACCCATTTCACTCAATAAGTGATTTAATAACTAATAAAGCTATATTGCTTTGTAACCACATCTATTGCACTTTAGTATTGCTTCAATGTCGTCTTCCTATTCTACAGTTTTATGGTTATCACTGTAGGAAAAGGACATGGACATAGCCTTTACATTTTTTCTCCCTAAAAATCAAGTAGATAAGTAATTTTAAGAAAAGAAGTGGTAAAGCAAAATGTATAGGGAAGGGTGGGGGTCCAATCGCGCACCCTTTTTATCTTGATAAAAAAATAAAACCGCCATTTTCTAACCTGAAGTGTTCTGTTTACATCTGAAAATGATTCTAAACTGACAACGCTATCAATAAACCCTTGGAGCAATACCTTCCTTGCCGCATCTGCAATATCAACCCTGAAATATATCAACTGTACGGTGAGACACATAACACTGTGGACTAGGAAGACGATATTTAAGAAATCTTGTGTGAATTTGATGTGTTTAGAAAGCAGCCAGTTTATCGAGTAGATTCAAAATCAAATTATTTACTTAATCCTGTGTTTTATTTGACTATTTTATATCGTTATGTAAATATCACAGTCGTCTTCATATAACGTAGTTGTACGGGTCCCACTGTACCAGTTAAGTACCTGGCTCTGCCTGTAGAATTTAAAAATTCCTCAAACAAAATAAAACAATTTAACATCGTTCGAAAGATTTTTGAAAAACTATTGTTTTTTTACTGAACAAACAAATATTGCGAAAGATTTTGAAACAACGATCGTTTTTAACTGATAATACAATTTTTTAATAAAAATTTTATTTCAACAATCTGTTTTTACCGAAAGAACGAACGAACCATATCCCTGGTGTTGTACTTGAAAACCAGGAAACGTTGAGGGGGGAAAGCTCTTTTGCTTTACTTTTTGAATCTGCAAAAAAGTTTGCTTCAATAAATTTTTTTTTTTGGCAAAATCAATTTTTTTTAGAAAAAAACTATCAATTATTTGGAAAATGAACAATTTTATCAAACGAACGAATTTTCAAAACAAACTGTGAGAAAATTAATGAAATATATGGAAAATCAAAAGTTTTGAAAATGAACGAAACCAATTTTTTTAAATAATAGAAAAAAAAATGAATGCGGTTTGTAGAGGCTAATCTAAGGAGGCTCTACTATTTGAAACGAAGGCTGTAAATCAATTACTTTATTATAAACGTGTTAAAGAAAACAAGTCCATTCCTATTTTAACAGACAATAGTTCTATTATATAAAAATCAACCCTTATTTTAATTTTTTAATTACTGTGCAGTTTTGTACTGTATGTATGCTTAATGTTAGCCAGATTTAAATTAGTTGAAAAGATAAATTGTATAAAAGTTAGAATGAAAAGAATGAAACTTTAATCAAACTAAAATTCCCACCATCTTAAAAATACTTATAAGAATTTAAAACAGGAAGGATTTAATTTCTGAAAATATAGAAATAAGAACAAATTTAAACTGTACAATTTTTTCTCGAAAGATTGATACATTTATTTTAAAATCAAATGTACAGCAAAATGGAAATTGAAATTGGCTATTTCCATTAGAATAAAAAAGTATCATTCACTAACAAAGGAATTGAATTTCTGCCACAAACTCCTAATTTTAATTCCTATATCTTTGCAACCAAGTATCGTAGACTGTTGATATTTCAAACTATAAATTATGTTAGATAAGATAGTCTAAGTTTGAAATATCAAAGGTTTACACCAACAGGTTGCGAAGATATAAGGATTAGAAAATTTGAGTTTGTGACAAAAACTAACTTCCTTTTCCCGAAGATCCCTATAAAACTAAATTAATCTTGGTACCGTTTTTTTAGGGTTTCCTATCAGAATTCCGTTGTGTGGAATTGCGCGGGATTGCACGGAATTGCGCGGAATTGATGGGTTTGCAATTGCGTACAAGTAAAATTCATATGTGTTGGAAAGCCTACAGTTTACCTGTGTGTGAGACAGATAGCTTCTGTGACTGATATTGAACCCTGCTCCTTAGTAAAGAAGTTTCTAACCTTCTCAACATCTTTATTATCCCCCCACGACCTGGAAGCATCATAATCAGATCAGATCCCTTACATTTTGTAGCATTTTGATCAAAATCATAAACATAATGTTAGGGATGTATCAGAAAGTTTTATATCTGACTTTTAACTTCAACAGTTGGAGATGTAAGATGTATACGGAAGATTTCTCAATATTGACAGTTTACTTTAAATCACTATTATTTCAATGTGTAAAATTCGTTGTTTAATTCCGATTTTTTTTGGATCAATATGTACAGTAAAATATTCTGAAATACCTTGAAAATATTGGTGGGATCCCAGCCGAGGCTTTTGTACCGTTTCTTGAGATGCTAAAAGATAGAATCTTTGAGTGAAAATATATTAAATCATAAAATTCAAACTTTATAAAAGGAATAAACTGATCTACAGGAGGGAAATAAAGGTATAAGCTGACCTGCAGGAGGAGGAATAAAAGTTTAAACTGACCTGCAGGAGGAGGAATAAAAGTTTAAGCTGACCTGCAGGAGGAAGAATAAAGGTATATGTTGACCTGCAGGAAGAGGAATAAAAGTTAGAGCTGACCTGCAGGAAGGGGAAAAAGGTATAGGCTGACCTGCAGGAAGAGGAATAAAGGTATAAGCTAACCGTCAGGAAAAGGAATAAAAATATAAGCTGACCTGCAGGTGGAGATATACGAAGAGGAATAAAAGTAGTATAGCTCACCTGCAGGAAAAGGAATAAAGATGTAAGTTAACCTTCAGGAAGAGGAATAAAATTATTAGCTGACCTGCAGGAAGAGGAATAAAGGTATAAGACTACCTGCAAAAGGAGGAATACAGGTTTAATCTAACCTGCTGAAGGAAGAATAAAGTTTATTAGCTGACATGCAGGAAAAGGAATAAAGGTATAAGCTTATTAAATCATAAAATTCAAACTTTATAAAAGGAATAAACTGATCTACAGGAGGGAAATAAAGGTATAAGCTGACCTGCAGGAGGAGGAATAAAACTTAAGCTGACCTGCAGGAGGAGAAATAAAGGTATAAGCTGATCTGCAGGAGGAGGAATAAAAGTTTAAGCTGACCTGCAGGAGGAAGAATAAAGGTATATGTTGACCTGAAGGAAGAGGAATAAAAGTTTAAGCTGACCTGCAGGAAGGGGAAAAAAGGTATAGGCTGACCAGCAGGAAGAGGAATAAAGGTATAAGCTAACCGTCAGTAAAAGGAATAAAAATATAAGCTGACCTGTAGGTGGAGATATAAAAGTTTAAGCTAACCTGCAGGAAGCGGAATTAAGGTAAAGGCTGACCTTCACGAATAGGAATAAAAGTAGTATAGCTCACCTGCAGGAAAAGGAATAAAGATGTAAGTTAACATGCAGGAAGAGGAATAAAATTATTAGCTGACCTGAAGGAAGAGGAATAAAACTATAAGACAACCTGCAAAAGGAGGAATACAGGTTTAATCTAACCTGCTGAAGGAAGAATAAAGTTTATTAGCTGACATGCAGGAAAAGGAATAAAGGTATAAGTTGACCTACACGAGGAGGAATAAAGGAATAAGCTGACCTGCAGGAAAATGAATAAAGACATAAGCTGACCTGCAGGAGGAGTAATAAAGGTGTAAACTGACCTGCAGGAGGAATAAAGGTAAAAGCTGGCCTACAGAAGGAGGAATAAAGGAATAAACTGACCTGCAGGAAAATGAATAAAGATATAAGCTGACCTGCAGGAGGAGTAATAAAGGTGTAAACTGACCTGCAGGAGGAATAAAGGTAAAAGCTGACCTACAGGAGGAGGAATATAGGAAATGGCTGACCTGCAGGAAAAGAAATAAAGGTATAAGCTGACCTGCAGTAAGAGGAAAAAACGTATAATACCAGTTGCAAAAGTAGGAATAATGAAATAAGCTGGCCTGCAGAAAGAGGAATAAAGGTAAAATCTAACCTGCCGGAGGAGGAATAAAGTTCATAAGCTGACTTGCAGGAAGAGGGAAAAAGGTATAAACAGACCTAGAGGAGGAGGATAACCTAGGTATAATTTGACCTGGAGGAGAAATAAAGGTATACGATGGCTTAAAGGAAGAATAAAAGTAGAAGCTGACCTGCAGGAGAAGGAATAAAGGTATAAGCTGACCTGCAGGCGGAGGAATAAAGGTATAAGCTGACCTGCAGGAGAAGGAATAAAGGTATAAGCTGACCTGCAGGCGGAGGAATAAAGGTATAAGCTGACCTGCAGGAGAAGGAATAAATGTATAAGCTGACCTGCAGGCGGAGGAATAAAGGTATAAGCTGACCTGCAAGAGGAGGAATAAAGGTATAAGCTGACCTACAGGCGGAGGAATAAAGGTATAAGCTGACCTGCAGGAGGAGGAATAAAGGTATAAGCTGACCTGCAGGCGGAGGAATAAAGGTATAAGCTGACCTACAGGCAGAGGAATAAAGGTATAAGCTGACCTGCAGGAGGAGGAATAAAGGTATAAGCTGACCTGCAGGCGGAGGAATAAAGGTATAAGCTGACCTGCAGGAGAAGGAATAAAGGTATAAGCTGACCTGCCTGAGACAGATCGACCCAGTTCTATTCCAAACCCTGTTGTGGTAGAACTAGTTAATCCTTCAATATACTCTTCATACTAGAGACACTTGGAAATTGAAACTTTATTTTAAAAATTTTATCAAAGATTCAAATCAGTTCCCTTTACACCTGTATCAAGTACCAATATCTTTTTAAGTGCACCTACATTTATAAGCGTCATGCTTAATTCACAACAGCCCCCATTAAAATCTAATTTAAGAGAAGCAAGAAAACCTTTTTTGCCTAAAATGGGAGTGATCTTATTTGTTTTCAAAAAAAATCTTTTTAAAATACTTTTTAGAATTGCAACAACGTTTTCATTGGTACCAGGTTGAATCGGACATACCATTGGTATTTGAAGGTCAATAGCAACTACGTTTATAGTCCCTTGAAAGCTTTAAACTGTGAACATCATGATTCTAGTCATTGAGCAAGTTTTATAGTTCTTTGAAATCTTTAAAATTTAAAAATCATGATTCTAGGCATTGAACAAGTTTTAAAAAGTTCTAAATCCTTGTTAAAAGTTAAATTTGAAAAATCTTACTATTCTTTATTTTGTAAATAAAAACGTTTAAAAATTTAAGATGACTGATGAAAAAAATATTTTTTGAATAAATAAGATTTTTTTCCTTCCTTGTCGTAAACTCGAGAACTGAACAAAAAAAATAGAATTTAAAAAAATTTTTGCAAAATTGATTTCGCAATAATTCAGGAACTCTGAAAATGCAGATTAACCATTTTTTAGCGATATTTTAGAATAATTCATTGATTATAAGTTATAATCTCATTTGCCTGTTTTAACTGAAAATTGTTTTATTTTAACCCTATGCCTGCTGGGGTACTTAAAAACCAGGATACGCTGGGGTGGGGGTAATTTTGACCCCCTCCCCCCATAAATCTCATGTTTCATGTCAAAATATGACAAATGATACGTCGTTGAAAAGCTTTAATGCTCTACTTTTAGAAGCCGCAAAAAAATAGCAAATTTGCAACAAAAAAAAATGTTTGCAAAATCCAGTTAGTTGGTTAAAATGTTTGCCAAAAAATGTCCAATAACTGATGAAATATACGTTTTTGAAAAGCTCTTGACCATGTCATTTCAAATAGGCAAAAAAATGTTAAATTTTAAATAACCTGATGTGTAATTGATAAAAACTAAAAATGAGCAAAATTCTTTTTATAGGTTGTATGCAAAAATTAGCAAAAATGTTTTTGCATAACTTGTGAAATTCTTTTTCTTATGTCATGGCTTTCCAAAAAGGTAAAAATTATGAAAATCTGACAACTGAAAGTGGGTCAAAACAATGATTTAGTTTGTTACAGGAAAAAGTAGTCATTTAGGCAGCTTGCCTGGGGATAAAAAAATTACTGGGTGGGGGGTTAAATTGACCCCCCTCCCCAACAGGAATAGTGTTAAAGGGACCATTCACTTATTTGGGTGATTTCATGGTAAACTAATGAGCCTCTCAGCTATTCATAGATATTAGGGTTACTTTTCAAAGATATCTATGACCGGAGAAAAAGTCGATTCATCGTTTAGAACGGTTTGATACCAATTTGCACAGACACTATTTAAACGTTTTTTTTCAGTAACAACAACCCAAGGAAAAAATCTAACATTATCATATTTCAATGACATCACGCTTTCAGCCATTATGTAACAAAATATAAAACTTTTGTTTGTGTTAAAACGTGATTTAACAAATTAACACGTTTATTCAAAGACGACTTTCTCTCTCAGACAAACTGGTTCCTAGATTCCAAATCTTCAATAAATCACGGGAATTTCTGGGGAAGTAGAGAAAACGTATAAAACCGTCAAATGTTTAAAATAAGTTATATTTTGAAAATAGACAATTTTAAAATAATTTAAATAATTTATTATTGAAAAATCGGCTTTTTGTCCGGCCACAGTTGTCTTTGAAAAGTAAGACTAATACCGATGAATAGCTAATAGGCTATTTAGTTTACTCTCAAATTGCCCAAATAAGTGAACGGTCACTTTAATAATTAAAAAACCGGGATCTATATTTAAGGATGTTATGACCTGAAATCTCCATCACATTTTATCTGTCCATTTCCTAGATATTAAATATAATTTAAAAAAATAGATACAAGTTTTCTTTAAATCAACCTACCAGACTTAATCTATATTTAGTCCAACCTACTGTCTTTGGATTTTGACATTAATAGCTCTCTGTAATGCACATGACTAAAGGAAGCCGATTGCCCAAGTTTTGCAAAGAACTTTTGCACACCTCTTTGCACTGCAGGCGCAATTAAAGTGAATTTGCACATTTCCAGTTTTTGTTATACGCAGTTAGGTTTTGAAAATTTCGCAAACTTGTTTTGCATACTTGAATTCGCTGGACTGGAGGCTTTTTAAAAAATGTATAATTTATGATATTTCGCCATTTTTGGCTCAATAACTGGATTTTGCGAGCAATATTTGGAATTAGTAAAGCATTCATTAAAGAGCAGCCAAAGGGGCTTTCCACAAATGCCATTGAAGAGAATCTCAATAAGGAAATAAATGTGGGGCCCTGGGCCCCCCCCCCCCCACCCCAGTATTTTGGGCAGAGTCTAGTAGATGTCGGTGAGAATAGGGTTGAAAGGATTTTGTTCTTTATACTAGTCTTTAAATATACATATTTATATGTATAATATCTATGTAAACCTGTTCATAATATTATATTTCAGAGCATTTTTTGATAATTTGAAAGAACATAAAACTATTCAATAACAACTTAATTACCCCACATAGAAGTTCGAAATTAGTTTTCAAACGATGAAATTAAACTTATTTTGGTTACAGGCATTTAACATTTCTGCCACAAACTCTGATTTTCTAATCCCTATATCTTTGCAACTTGATGGTGTAGACCTCTGATATTTCAAACTATAAATTCTGTTAGATTAATTAGTCTGAGTTTGAAATATAAAACGTTTACACCGTCAAATTGCAAAGATAGGGGGATTAGAACAATTTGAGCTTTTGGCAAAAACTCAATTCCTTTAGATGAGGACCTCACAATTATCCTGTAGGGATAAACTTTAATTGAGGGATTAAGCATTTATTCTTAAGTTTAAGGATAAAGTAGTTTAATTTTTATCATTTTTCTTCTGTGATTTATTTGCTCATGTTTTGAACCTAGGGTAATCATTTTATTAAGCCTAGTATAAGGATGGGGGTGTACAGCCTGAAAGCCCCCCCCCCCTCAAGGGGGTTCAGCAATATTGAGCTTACACCATAAACATTAGATTCAAATAAGGCTCGGTTGCTTGAGTTATCTTTTGAGAGAAGTCCCTCAGTCATTGGAAAACATGACAATTAATGTTAGAAAATCTCATTTTCTTGTTATATTTGACACCTGTGACGTCGTGTAAACTTAGTCCATTTCTCTGTTCCCACCTATTGTATACTTGATAATCTATTTCCGTTTTCCTATATTCCTGATTCTCTGATACTGTAAACTTGTTTCTTTCTTTATATAACCGATTGAAAGACCTTAAATAAACCTTGAAATCGTCATATTTAAAGAGTTTCAGCCCGTTCTTATACTTCAAGGGTAACCCTGTAGATTTAATTGAATTTCAAATAGACCAATAAATATATAGACCAGGAACGCCCAACTCAGATATACGCATATTGTGTACTGTACACTGTGGGAGGAATGTAAACAAACCCAGTGCCCCCAGAGCAGTTAAAGGTAAAAGATTAAACTCTGATAAACAGAGTGATGTTCCAGTCAAAAACAAAACAAACTAGTTAATATATTAATATCAAGTCCAGATACATATAAATATAATTTTTGGCTTTCAGGTCAATATGGAAAATTTATTAATGCCCAGTGAGATTTGTGCAACTCGTACAACTATAAAAGGAGAAGCAAGGTAAAAAGTTTCCACCTATCCTTGTTTCTGAGTTTTAATTTGTAAAACTTTTTGTAAATGTTAGATTTTTCAGTAGACTGAAAAACCTCTAAAGAGTTTCAGCCCGTTCTTATAGTCTTATACTAGCTTCGAGGGTAACCCTGTATATTTAATTATATTTCAAATAGACAACGTGTATTATGTACATTACCGTACTGGTTGTATACTAGGAACCCCCCTATCTGTGTTTACATCATGGAACAACTAGACAGGAAGCAGGGTTGATGCGTACGGGTGTCTGATAAGCCGGTACGCGTCGTTTGAAAATGCTCAATGCCGGATCCCTTTTTGTACAAGATGCACAGTGGGCGTACAGTAGGGGGCTATCTCAATCTTTTTTGCAAATTAGAAACTAAGTTTCTGCAGCGCCCTTAGCTACTATCATAAAGCTAAAAAAAAACAGAATAAGAATAAAAAGAAAATTTTCGATTTTGTAAAATTATAATTAAAACCTTTATTAACTAAACTCTAGTATATGTACTAGGTTACTCGAGTGTCCCAACAAATATTGAATTAGGAATCTTCATTTGATTTACAATGACCAATCTGAGGTTATTTTACTTTAAAAAGCTAAGAATTCAAAATAATTCATCTTTTATGTATCTTCAATAATAGAAAGTTTCCTATATCTTTATTTATACAAATTGAAAACTGAAATAAGTGGAAATATGTGAAAATTGCATACCAAATTACCACATTTTGGAAAGCCCAAGACTAATTTTCTTTATTTAAACTTTTGTCTGTTAAGTGTTTATCATTTACGTATAATTCCCATGTTTGTTTGGATATCCAGTATCTTTACACCAAAAAATCTAAAGAAAAATTTAAAAACAAAACAAAAAAGTGTCTTTAAGTAAAGAATACAAGCATATTATTAAATATCATTTATTCATTTCTAAAATGAACAAGCTTTGTAAGCTTTTTCGTGACTTTTTTTTGGTTTCTACATTATGATTTTTGATAAATTTATGAACTCTTATGGCAAGATATTTTTTTACAAGTTTTACTAGAAGATTATAACGGTGTTCTGGGTCATGCCCAGGGACAAGATACATAAAAATTGTTTGATGTAACTAGGGAAGGATCAAATAAAAAAGAAAAATAGCCTAAAACCACCTTCCCCTCTGGAAATTTTCTTACTTCGACCCTTACAGATATTCATTTATGTATATCAATCTTTATTTTGCATTTATCAATATAAGTTTTTCTTTAAAAGGAATTGAGTTTTTGCCACAACCTCAAATTTTCTAATCCCTATATCTTTGTAACCTTATGGTATAAACTCTAAATTTTAAAACTTGATTATTTGATCCAAAAGAATTCTTAGTATGAAATTATAAAATAAGAGTTTGTTGCACAGACTCGTTCCTTTTATATTCAGAAAAATTCATTGTCTCAAGATTGCAAGAAAATTTTGGACGATATATTATTTGTCTGAGGAGTGAGGACCATTTGTTTAGGTATTTTTGGCTTATGATATTGTGTTTACCAAAACTTTGAGGATTCCTTTAAATATTATTTATCGACAAGATGATAATACAGTTTTATTAATTAAACGTTTACTCTTAAATTAAGGAGGTTGGTTTAATTGACAGTACAAATTTACCTTCATATTTTCAGATTTGTTTAGAAAGAAAATAATTTAATTAACAAAAAAGAAGATAATGAGTATGAGTGTCTGGTACGCTATGCATCTCACAAAAATCCCAGATGATATTGTAGGGGATATAGTCACTGGAAGTTTATGACCATCCCGGAAATACAAATTAGCATCCTTATCTCCCCTCAAGTATGCCAGAGAGCTAGACGTCAAAGTCAATTCGAGGCCCCCTGCAGGAAAAGAAATAAAGGTATAAGCTGACCTGCAGTAAGAGGAAAAAACGTATAATACCAGTTGCAAAAGTAGGAATAATGGAATAAGCTGGCCTGCAGAAAGAGGAATAAAGGTAAAATCTAACCTGCCGGAGGAGGAATAAAGTTCATAAGCTGACTTGCAGGAAGAGGGAAAAAGGTATAAACAGACCTAGAGGAGGAGGATAACAGGTATAATTTGACCTGGAGGAGGAATAAAGATATAAGATGGCTTAAAGGAAGAATAAAAGTAGAAGCTGACCTGCAGGAGAAGGAATAAAGGTATAAGCTGACCTGCNATCATAATAATTTATTATGATTGATTTGATTTGATTAAATTCTTTTGATTAAATGAGCAACGCCATCACTTGTTGTTAAAAAAACACCTGGTGTTCCATATTTGGAGTTTTGACAGATTTTTTTTAAATTCTTGATTTTTAGTTAATTTTTAGCTATTAATTATTTTGAAAATATTACATTTTTAGGGATTCTTAATTTTAAATTAGATCTATTTTAAACTATTTTACAGCAAATAATGAAACATTATGAGTGCTCTGAACACAAATTTTTGTAAAACTAAGAATTAAATACTGATTTATTGATAAATAACATATTAGAAATTAAAATGATAAGTCTTCTTTATTTTCGTGTTGAAGCCAAAAATGTACAATAATACTCGTTATACATATAAAATTTATAAAGATAAAGTAAAGTTTAGAGTATTATCATACAGAATTGGGGGATTTTGATTTTATAACATGTGATAATAGGCTTTAAAGGAACTTCCCAAAGGTTAGGTTAGGCCTTCTGAGGTGCGGCATGCGGCACTCTGGGGGGCCGAGTTCTGCAGCTAGAATGGGTAAGGAGCGAGCACTATGGCTAGAACACTCATGGGGGATTTGGGAAATTGCCACTTAAGAAAATACCCTTGTTATGTTGGTGCATGGGAAATTAGCTTCATCATTGTGGTTTAATTGTAAATACAATATTTTTCTTATTCAAAATAATTAAAATGTATTTTAGAAAATGTCAGAATTTTTGGTTTAGAATCAAGGCGCTAGGAATGTGTTTGAAAATCAAATCAGAAACCGTAATTGATGTAAAAAGTTCTGAATGTAAATTTTTAAAAAAGTTTTTATCGCAAAACTGCAGGATTGCAAATTATTACGAAAAAGACAATGCAATCACGCAATTTGCCAATTTCTTTGATTGATTGATTGATTTTTTATTTAATTTACCTACACGCTTCCTCTAGTCCTGGAATATCTACATAATTTGGATCACAATATGGACAAATAATCTGACCCTTCACACACCTTAAACACAGAAACTTTAATTAATGGGATTAGTGTTGTTAACCCTTTACACACCTTAAACAGAACCTTTAATTAATGGGATTAGTGTTGTTAACCCTTTACACACCTTAAACAGAAAACCTTTAATTAATGGTATTAGTGTTGTTAACCCTTTACACACCTTAAACACAGAAACTTTAATTAATGGGATTAGTATTGTTAACCCTTTACACACCTTAAACAGAACCTTTAATTAATGGGATTAGTGTTGTTAACCCTTTACACACCTTAAACAGAACCTTTAATTAATGGGATTAGTGTTGTTAACCCTTTACACACCTTAAACAGAAAACCTTTAATTAATGGTATTAGTGTTGTTAACCCTTTACACACCTTAAACACAGAAACTTTAATTAATGGGATTAGTATTGTTAACCCTTTACACACCTTAAACAGAACCTTTAATTAATGGGATTAGTGTTGTTAACCCTTTACACACCTTAAACAGAACCTTTAATTAATGGGATTAGTGTTGTTAACCCTTTACACACCTTAAACAGAAAACCTTTAATTAATGGTNTGTTTAATATGTTTATTCTGAAATACTTTGTTTAATATGTTTATTCTGAAATACTTTGTTTAATATGTTTATTCTGAAATGCTTTGTTTAATATGTTTATTCTGAAATACTTTGTTTAATATGTTTATTCTGAAATGCCTCAGTTTATCAATATTTGGAAAAAAGGTAAAAACGGACAAATTATCATGTTTAGTGGAAAAAGCTGTAAACATATTGAACAAGATTAGAATTATAAATTCAAACCTTGTAATCCAGGCTAAAGTTAGAATAAACAACACCATCAGTTCACTTGGCAACTTTACACCGACTAATTACAAAGAAAAACAAAACTGAAGAAATCAGAAAACTGGAGATTTAAGATATTATATTGTACACAAACCCTCCCTATCTTTACGCTTGTTTAAAACCCCATAATGTTATGATGAGAGGAGGCTTAAGGGGGGGGGAAAGTGAGGTAAATAAAAACCTTTGGATTATTTTAATGCTTCTTGGGGTGTCTGAAAAATACCCATAAAGAATCTAAGAACTTTCCAAAAAAAAATAATTGATAACATTTTTTTCTATAACAAATATTAAGCTAGGTGCAGCTTTACATCTAGGGTCCTAAGCTTGGTTTTAAAATCGACCCACCCAATTGCGGATCTATAGATTTTAAATATATCCTGTTCTTTTATGGTCCAACCACGCAGGCACGCACCTATGATTAGATATATGTTTACCACCCAAAAAAAAGTTTTCCGAAAAATTAGGAATCCAGGCCATGATTTCCAAGGAACTTTTTTTGGGGGAAATTGTTTCTTGTTTCCATCTTTTTTACAAGTTTTTTGTTTCTCTTTGACTTTAAGGTTGGCAGTTTCTTTAAAAATTAGAGCAATTATATAACAATAATCATAATTTTTTTGAAAATGGCTTCTAAAGCATTCTGACTTATTTGACCTTTTGACCTCTACTTTAATAAACTTTAATCTAAACACCCCTAAATATATTAACCATGAAACTTTAATCTAAACATCTCTAAATATATTAACCCTGAAACTTTAATCTGAACACCACTAAGTATATTAACCAGGAATCTTTAATCTAAACACCTCTAAATATATTAACCCTGAAACTTTAATCTGAACACCCCTAAATATATTAACCCTGAAACTTTAATCTGAACACCCCTAAATGTATTAACCCTGAAACTTTAATCTGAACACCACTAAATATATTAACCATGAATCTTTAATCTAAACACCTCTAAATATATTAACCCTGAAACTTTAATCTGAACACCTCTAAATATATTAACCATGAAACTTTAATCTGAACACCCCTAAATATATTAACCCTGAAACTTTAATCTGAACACCATGCTAAACATTTTAACCATGAAATTGTAATCAGTCAGAACACCCCTAAATATATTAACCTCTGAAACTTTAATCTGATCACACCTAAAAAAAAAATTTATCCTGAGACTTTAATCTGAACACCCCTAATTATATTGACCGTAAAACTTTAATCTGAACACCCCTAAATATATTAACCATGAAACTTTAATCTGAACACTCCTAACTATATTAACCATGAAACTTTAACCTGAACACCCCTAAATATATTAACCCTGAAACTTTAAACTGAACACCCCTAAATATATTAACCCTGAAACTTTAAACTGAACACCCCTAAATATATAGTAACCTCTGAAACTTTAATTGAACATCTCCATGTATATCAACCCTTGAAACTTTAAACTGAACACCGAAAAATATATTAATCCCCGAGACTTTAATCTGAACACCCCTAAATATATCTCCCCCCCCCTGAGGCTTTGTTTGATCTGACCAAGCTATAAAGCATTCAATTGGTGGAGTAACAAGCAGTTAGTAACATTTCTTAAAATATTATTTCGCATTAAAAAAAATATACTTCTCTGAAAAATAACCTACTTTTAAAATATTTCCTCATTATAGTTCTTTAAAACAGGCTTTGATCTTTGAAATAATTTTTGTCATTCATTAGTCAATCTACTTTTACATGTATTATTCTTGAAACAATGAATCCACAAAATTAAATAGCATTTCCAAAATGGGGTCTGCCAATTTTTTTATTTAGAAACTATCTGAGATTTTAAGGATTTTATTCAAATTTCAATTTCATAAATCAAACTATTAATGGCGAAATCTAAACGAAAGTCTTTTTTTACTTAGGTAATTTTGAAAATTTGAATTTTTTGAAATTTAGAAAATTCCGGAACAATAATTTAAAAATGTTTCATCTAAAAATAAAGTTTGACAAATTGTTCCAAAGATAAAAGTCGTCTCTCAACTGGCATGTTTCGTAGGACACCCTGTAGATGCATAAAGGGGTATATAGGTCACCATGTTGTAGATACTCACAGTAGTATGCCTGTAGGTAGGATGAACAGTAGAATGCCTGTAGGTAGGATGAACAGCTAGTATGCCTGTAGGTTGGATGAACAGTAGTATGCCTGTAGGTAGGATGAACAGTAGTATGCCTGTAGGTAGGATGAACAGTAGTATGCCTGTAGGTAGGATGAACAGTTGTATGCCTGTAGGTAGGATGAACAGTAGTATGCCTGTAGGTAGGATGAATCATTTTTATTTTTTTTAAAAACGATCGTTGCGTTTTAAAAACAACGAAGAAAAAACGGAAACGAAAAGGTTGTTATAAAAATCGTTCGCTTTTGAAAAATGGTAGTTTTTTATTCTTTCTTTTCAACTAGAATTTTTTTCATTTTTTAAATATGCCCTGCACATTTTCAGATAAATCTGTTTTATAGTTACAAATAACAACATGACAAGTTGTAATTAAAATAATTATTGTAGACAACAATCATTCCTTTGTATTCTGTATTATTTGATAAAAACTGTCTCATTA